AGTATGGGTGGGGGAGCACATGTGAGGTCTCTGGGAGCGCATGGGGCATGTAGCTCTTGGCCAAGCCCACTGAGCTGCTGGCAGGCTTCTGCCTATGCCCTGTCTTGAGGCAGGTGAAATCGGCAGGTGTGATGTGCTACACAGCTGGTAGGTGCCATAATTCATGTTGTTACACATTTTGAAAACTAAAGGATGCAACAAAGCGGAATGTCAAGGGTATCCAGGAGTGAAATTATGAGGTTTGATTTTGAGACAGGCTGGCATTTTTAGTGCCACATTTTCTAGTTTAAGCTCAAGCCAGTGGGACAAATTCTGACTGCTACTGCTTGAATGCTGAGTGTGACCTCTGCTGGAAGAGGAGACCTTGAGGTTTTCCTTTGCTATAAGTGGATTTGTATTTTAAGGCTTCCCTGCTGAAAGCTTTGTTTTCCTAAAGGTTATTGTTGAGGAAAAATGCAACTGCATACTCACTGCTATTTTACTAATCTTTTTTGATGAGAATCTGTCTTGCTAATCTCTTTGGGGAATTACAGGGAGAGAAAGGGGAAAGACTGTATTGATCTCAAGCTCTGTGTGTTGGTTAATGGGTTTGTGTAAGGATTCATGTCATGTAAGAGGTGAAATAACAATAATCTTTGTAATTGATTACTTATTGATTGCTCTTAGGAGATATGTTTTGATATGAAAAAGAACCTTCAATTCAATTATGGTATGTAAGCAAAGTTCAAGATTTATCTAAACAAGATTGAAAAGGTGAAAGGTGATGGGGAAAGTTCACTTCAGAGAAAGTTGATTTTATATGAAATTTTGTATTGCCTATCAATGCAAACATTTTCTAATATGCTCTAATATTAAGAGCATTGTGCTTTTTCATGCCAACACACTACCTGAAAATACAAAGAATAATGTCAATAATTTGTAAGTGATTCAGTCTAGCCATATCTGCTCTGTTGGAGTTGAAGCAGAAGCTCATAAATGATGACTTCAAATAGATGGAGTAAAGGTTTATGCTGTGAACTTTGGGGCTGGCTGAGTCACATCATACATCTGCATATCTTTGAACCATTTGATTTGTATCCTTATTTAGTCTGAGATTTTTGTGATACATGTTGGAATAATCTGGAAATAAATTTCTGGTTCCAGCTGATCACGGTGTCGAAAACAGTTATTTAATACAATCCTACTTTACAGATCCCAACAGGTTACCCAAGCTAAGAGATGTTTTAGTTAATGTCTATTTGAGTTGGAAAGTCTCTTTTGCCTGCATTTACATTCAAAGTTTTGCTTTGAATGTAAATGCAGGCAAAACGAAATGAAACCTAAACCAAATGAAACCTAAACATTCTAATAAAATAACTATTGGTAAATAGAAATAAAAAAGAAATAAAGAAAAAAAAAATGAATGTTCCTGTGAAGGAAAGTTCTTAACAATAAAACATAAGTTCATGTTGCTATGTATATGTTCTGGTATCTAACCCTTTTCCAGGTGTTACATTCCTCATACTGCTGCCCTTTTGTTCTAAGGTTGATAGTGGTATCTATTTGGGGATGTACAGCGGGAAATGGGCATCCTGAGCCCTATGCCAAGAGCAAGAGGGTGTTGAAGTCAATGCTTTCTGTGTCTTCAAGCTAAGATCTGCTTGGGGTAATTTTTATGTGTTTTTCTAACAGGTTTTCTAACACCTTATTCTTTCCTCTTTGCTTTGAAAGTCCACATCACTCAGATTGTGCTCTATATGGTGAGTTTGGCAGGTGTTATTGTCATACGAAGAATGACTTTTTACAGCCAAGACAGGCAGAACTTGGCAGGTGCAGACTGAGCTAGCCAGCAAACCCTCAGGGCTGAGCCCTGGCAAAACCCATGCAGAGCCTGAGGCACTATCCGTGGCCTGACTTTAGTGACACAGTAACATTTAGTGACAACAGGGACATGGTTTAGTAATTAACTTGACAGTTCTGGGTTCATGGTTGGACTTGATGATCTTAGAGGTCTTTTCCAATCTTAAAAATTCCATGATTCTATGATTACTGGGCTGCAGGTCTGTTTTGTCTTCCATGGGGGATAGATCAGCTAGAAAAAGCGCCTGCATTTATGAAGAGAATCAGTGACTGATCCAGCATGAATATCTACATATTGGACTTCATATTTCTGTTCTCAACTCTGAAATAGATATTATTACTTGAATAATTCTGGTTCCAACTCAGTCAGCATTTCATTTGGCCTCAGAGTGGGACAAACTGGCATCAACAGAGTGGTATGTCTTCCCTCAACCTAAATATAAGGAATTTCATAAGAACAGCTTGTATAATATTTCTGCTAGAGTACCCAAATCTAACTATTAGCAATAAGATTTTCAAAATTGGTTAATCCTCCTATAATCAAGAAATATTTCACCAAATTATTCAAATTTAGTGTACAGCTGGACCAATTTAGAAGACTAAAGGTCTGCAAGGTAAAACAGGCAATTTAAATCCTTGGAATGATAGAACATCCTATTTATTTTTAACACAGCTTGTTTTCACAGAATTTAGTGGGATCAGATGGTGTGGCCAAGGTGATGGTGACAGGTAAGTAACCTCTGGATTATTTCATATGGTGCTATACTGTTATTCATACTGAAGCATTTAGGAGCAGTCCTGAACTAGATCAGCTGCCCACTGAAGCAGCTTGTCTGATCTGGAAGCTGTGGAAAACTGGTGAGAGGTAGGCTGATATATTGCTTTGACAGTACCAATACTTCAGCCTCTGGAAATTCTTGAGATATTCTCTTTACTTCCTTTGTTTTTCTTTTGCCCTGTACTTTTGTCCATCCCCCTTGAAGAAGCTGGAGTGTGTCCTATTCCCTCCATTGTTAAATGTATGCACGCATCTCAAAATTCTTTACCATTCTGGTTTAATCAAGTTTGGTCCTTTTATAGATACTTTACATATTGCATCACAGATGATTGGTTTTCAAGGGATATCAGAAAAAGGCACCTTTGACATTGGCCAGGCATGTCAGCTAGCAGTGACATTGTGAATGTAAAACATAATTCAGCAGGAAATTTCCTGTCATTTTGTGAAGCCTGGCAGATGTTAGACTCTAGGGAATCTTTGGGGTGAATGTTAGGTGTCCTGTATTTCCTTCAAGACCTCAAATAGAAAAGTGCAAACACTGGTTTTGGCACTGTTACAAAGTTAAGTATTCCTAAAATCTTAGGGGTTTGGTTTCTGTTGCCCAAATAGCCTTCTTTATATTAAAATACCATTACACTGAGGTCAAATGCTACAAACTTACTTGGCAAAGGCAGTAGAGAGTTTGCCTGAGGAATGAGATATTTAAATATATAGTAAGGATTTCTTTGATTACTTGGAGCATAACTTAGGGAGGAGTGCAATACTATATACTTATTGCATAGATGTTGTTAACTATAGAGATTAATTGTGGCTTTAGTGGTTATGATTTCCAGTGAAAAAAGAGCAGGTAGTAAATGCTGTTCACAACTTTCATCAACATGACAGAGGACTCTGAGAAGAAAGAATAGGTTATCTGGGGAACACCTGATTAACCAGAAACGTCATACAACTTATTTTGACTGAAAGCCAAAAAGCATTCCTTTTGTATGCAGGTCTGAATTCCTTCTTTACTCACTAGTGTTTACTGTATTTGATGTGATATGGTAAAGTAAACTGTGTGAAAATTACTAGTATTTGTTAGCAGAAAGATTTTTCTTTATGTACTGCACATTCTAAATTTGTTGATTTTCTACCTTCCCTTATAATAATACTCCTTGTGTTGCATTAAACTCATAGAAAGACATTTTCTTGTAATTAGGTTTTCCTAGAAAAATAGCACTACTTTAAAGCAGATATAGTCCAGCTGTATAATGTTTAAGCTTTTTAGGTATTGGTAAGCTTTCTTTCATGTAAACATGAATCTATTAACCTGAAAGAATATGTGAATATTTTATTTTTTCTGCTTTCACTTAAATTAGCTACTTTAGTTTAGAATTGACTGTGGAATTGATGGTACTAGGAAAAATAATAGTTATGTGAACAAGAAGATTAACTTAAGCAAAAATGCTACCACTGAATGTGTTTATGATCTATGAATTAAGTCTTTGTCAAAAAAATCTGATTCAGTACAATTTAGAGTTTTACTACATGTGGGAATAAAAATATTAGCTAAAAATAAGAGATCTCTGGACTTCAGGAAATCTTCAAAGGATGTGAAGAAAAGAGCACGATATATCATATAATCATAGAACCACAGAATTAACTGGGTTGGAAGAGACCTCTGAGATCATCAAGTCCAACCCTTGATCCAACCCCACTGTAATTACTAGATCATGGCACTCAGTGCCACATCCAGCCTCATTTTAAAAACCTCAAAGACAAAAGAGACAAAAAGAATGGGACTGGGAAAAGTAGCATCAAAGTTAAAATTCTTTCTTTCTCTATTTTCAGTCTTTTTCCTAAACCAGGAAAAATAAGATGTTTTTTCCAAGAAAGCAAAAATAAAACTGAAAATTTAACATAATAAATGAGATTTTTTGTAAATAATGTGAGGTTTGAGTGCAGTGGTCAAGAATATAAAACCCCCCAAATATTTATGTACTTTTTATGGATTTCTGCCTAGATTTACTTGCATCAGTGTCTTATGCATTCTTATCCTGTTGTCAAATTTTGACTGTACTGGATAACTAAAGCTACATGATCTCACTACTGTGAGATTCTAAGCACTATTCTCTTTGACTTAAAAAGTGAAAGGCGCATTCATAACTTTTCTAAAATTTTTTTCCCTTCTGGGCATTTTCTGCAACGTAAGATGAAATAACTTTTTAAGTAAGAACTTCTCACCAAAACTTGAGTACTGCTGGTTTGAAAATACTGCTTGTAATTTATACCCTTATGCAACTGATATAAATAGATTTTCTAGATGTCATTCATTTTCAATGTTGACAATGACACTCTCTTTTTGCACCATCTTTCCTTTCTCTCTTCTTTCTTTTTAAAAGCAGTATCTCTTCTGTCATTTTTCATCTTCATTGTGCACCATGCATACCAGGAAAAAGCCTAATTAACCAAGTATAGAAATACATTGCTCAAGGAAGAAAAAACTAACCCATTACCACCAAGAAGAAATCACCAAGTCCCAAAAGCTTTGTAAAGAAAAAGCAAATATTGCAAAGAAGGCATTCAAAACAAAGGAACACTGTTCCTTAGTGTTCACCTAATGCCAATCACCTGCCTTACCTGTAAATGTCTTCTCTGCCAGCAGTGCTCATTCACTGCCTGCCAGCTCCTGCCCTGACAGGTCTCTGCCCCTCTCTCATCCCCTACTTCCAGTTACTGCAGACCTCTATCACTACTTGAACATGTGCTCTGATCTTGTTGTTGTCTGATTCACCCAAATATATTGAACATGGAATGCAGTCAGTGTGACATATTTTGCATGAATCTGTCCATACAATTCCCTTTTAATCCCATATCTTTTACTATAACACCTTTCCACCTTTGATGACCTTCCACACACAAACTGCTTAGTTTTTCCTTTATATCAGTATTTCTTTTTGTTTTCTTTTGTAAATACTATTGCTTTAGATCTTCTTATATCTTCTATATAATTGGCATTACATATATATATATATATATATATATATATATATATATTTGTTTCATAGTCTCACTTTTACAAATTTGAAGGTTATAGAGTGGGGGTCTGACGTCTGGCCCAGCACATTAGATCACTTGGGACCTGAACTACGTCTTACCTCTTAGTTCTTGTGATACAACCTTGTTGGCGAAGTCTTAGTGTAGCATTTTGCTATAACAGTGCAAAAAAAAAAAACCAGTTGGTTTTGACATTCATATCTGTAGTGCCAATGAACAGGGCAGAACTGTCACAGCTTGTTCTCATTTCTTCTAAACCAAGTTTCATAGGTTTTAGGTGGTGTTGTTGTTGTTTTGGTGGTTGTTTTTTTTTTTTGTTTGTTTTGTTTTGTTTTGTTTTGTTTTTGTTTTTTTTTAATTTCAGGTCTTAATTCAGGTCTTTCTTTTAAAAAAAAACAGCATCCAGAATAAGGTTTTGGGAAAAAAACCCAATTTTGTAATTTTCCAACTTCCTATTTTGTCTGTTGTCTTACAGGGTTTTTTTATAAGTTAGAAGCAATTTTATTTGTATCAAACCAAAGGATTTTAATGAAAGTCATTGGTGAGGGAGAAAAATCTGTTTGGTGATGCAGCCTCTTACCTGTCATTGACACAAGCAGATGTCACATGGACCAGTGCTAAAGTCTCTTCCAGTTCAAAGTGAGCTCATGAATCTGAAATAAACATCCTCATACAGGTCCAAAGAATACAAACTGCTTCCTTATACAATTCTTCATAAGACAAGTGTTCATTGTAAAACATGGTGCTTAAGTTTTTGGACATTCAAGGTCATAGCAAAGTATGCAGAAAGTGCAAGGTTACATCATGCTGCTGTTATTATGGTATGTCTTTTCAAAGTCAGGCATTTGCAAAGACTGAGTGGTCAAATAAGTCTAAATATAAGTAGAATAGGTCCAGAAGTAGGAAAAAACTTCCAATAAATTCCACAGAATTTATATATGTGTCTTTAACACTAAATTAACTTAGTGACAAGAGTCCTTGGAAAGTGTACCATAAAATCCATTGTTGTAAGATTTCCACTGAGTTACAGGCTTTGCATGTGGATATTTCAGAAACTGGGAGAGATAATGACAATTAAGTAAAATTTAAAGCTTAGCCTCATTGCTAACACTTCCTGCTACCCTTATCCTGATTTTGCCTGGATTGCTCCCTGGCGGGATAAAGAGGAAGTTGGTTATTTGGGAAAGATGTAGCTCTTTTTACCTGTTTGATTAGCTGCTCATGGCAGTGGGGTTGTCAAATGCCTACTCAGAGCAGTTGAACTCTCAGTTCAATGCAGACAGAGGCTTAACCAGGCTGGTGCAGGCAGAGCAAGTCCAGTGCTACCTGGGAATCCAGCGTTAACTACCAAAACTTTTCCACTACTTGCTGATGTTTCTACTCAGCAGACAGGAGCTGGGTTAGCTCAGCTCCTAAAATGGGAGCCTGGATACAGCTCATCATTAGTCCAAATAAAAGAGTTGTCCCCTGGCTCTGTGTGCCCTCTGCTTTACCTTGTGTTGTGTCTCTCCCTGAAGCATCCCCAATTTCAGGCCCTTAAGAAAACCTGGTTAAAACAGATACACTTGGCTTTGCCTCAGGACAGAGAGAGTGTGCTGCAATCTTAGCTGGTGAAAACAACTCTTTTTCTTTGTTTGTGTGTTTGTTTTGTTTTATTTTTTTCACTCACAGCTGTATTATTAGAAAGGACCTTTTCTTTCCTGTCTCTTCTTCCTCCTCTGAATCTGCTAAGAACCTCTTTAACTTTTCTTTCCTTTTTTTCTGAACAGGGCAATTTTCATAAACCAATAAAGCAAATCACAAGCCAGCTGAATTGAAAGAAAAGCAATTTATGTGCTTGGAAGTGTGTCTCTCTCCAACCCTCAGGTGCTGTCACAACAGCCAGGAGGTATATTGTCACATGTGGTGGAAGAGAAAAGACTATAATAAATTTAGCTATGATTACTAAGAAGAAATGCTGTGCCTATGTCTGCAGAGGCATTTTGATAGCTCACTGTTGAAAAAGAAAACCAGGAGACATTTTCTTTCTCTGAAAAATAGGATTTGCCTAAGTAAGAGGATTTGTGAAAGACTATGTTAATTTATTCATTCTCAGGAAGTAATGACATTGTATTGCCTGCCATATTTGCATATTTTTGTTGCATACTTTTCACAGGATTTTGCACAAAATAAAGGTGAGCTATGAGTGTGTTGCTGTTTTGGAAGTTCTCGGAATGAGAACACTGTATAAATGGGAATTCATTAGGACACTAATTGATAGTGTTATTATATTCTCCAATATGAAATCAGTAAACAGGTGCCACCCATCTGTAACCCTTTTCAGTTTAGCCTGTGACTGCAGAATGAATAAGAACTGGATTTAGCAAGTCATTAAAAATGGGTGGGGTATGAGTTTGTGGCTCTGGTTTATTCCACTCAGTCAAAATCAAACTACTTCCCTCCTCAAAAACTTCAAGCAAAAAATCTTGAAACATAGAAATGAGAAAAAAAATTAATTTTAATGTTTAGTGGAGCATATGCTGGAAGTATAGATCTAGTACTGCTGGATTGCCCCTGGAGTAATTTTTGAGTTCAGGAAACTACAGGAGCTCCTCAGCACTAGGGTGAGCACTCCAGCCATATGGGGCTGGGGTATAGGCAGAGAGATTCAGGCTTGAGTGTTTTACTTCTGGTTTTCTGTTCAGGAGAAAATGTGCTCTCTCTGGCATGATTGTTCTCTCCAAGTATCCAGGATGTTGAGAAGAAATTCAAAGTAGGAACTCTGAATACTCTCAGTGTTCTCCTGGAGTTACCTGAGTCTCTTCAGCAACTGTAGGAAAACCCAGGAGATATCAGCCAGGTGGTGAGAAGTTCATGGCTTTTCTTTGTTCTTCCATCTTGTACTGCACCCCCAAGGGCTCACCCTCAGGTCTGAATATCATCTTTACATTTCTGTTTGCCTCTTGTAATCATTTTTAGGTTCTAATCTGTTCCCAGTCCAGAAAGATATAGACTATAACAAAAAGGAAGGGAGAAAAAGAATTCTCCAGCACTGAGGAATGCGGGAATGCCTGTGGAGAATTTTGCAGTTATTTCTGGGGAGTGTACTATTTTTTTGTTCATTTGTTTGTTTTAATTTTTCCTCTGGAACTTGGTGTGATTATGTGTTAATGACAATAGTTCATTCTAAATCCAGCCCAGTCAGCTGTGCTGCACCAGTTTAAGACTAGTATTGGTCACTACTTTCTAGCACTTGTAGAACTAATTTTTTGTCCACAGGAACACATTAAATTTCTTCTATTAGTTTTTTTTCTTCTTCCTGTCTCAGAGAGGCATGATGCTGGAGATGAGGTGATGTCATTGTACTTTGCAGCATCAAGAGTTGTCTACTTGTGAACCCACATCCAGCAGCAGCCCCTGTTCCAGCCTCTGAATCTCTCTTCCCATAGTGCACTGCAGTCACTGAGGGCTTGACTTGCATGCTGTGACTAATGAATTGCATTTGTAGGTTGTGTGAATGGGATTGGAATTATATGGACTTAAAAACTATGACATAATATGCTTTGATTATGGAGAACAAAGCGTGGTGACTAACCTGGTCCTTTGCAGGACTCCTTTCCCAGATAACTCCCATGATTTTCTATTTTCTGGTCACTAATACAAATAAATAACCTGAAACTAAGATAGCAGTGAGTCACATAAAAGATTACATAGCTTTTGAATGTAGAGAGGTTTATTCTATGACTGTTATTAGTCACTTCAGTCACTGTGTCTTTTTGGTGTCATGGTATGGAGTCACTGGTCTGTTGAGACACTGCTATTTCGATTTGGTTTTTGCTTCAAGCAAAAAATGTGTTTAACGTGTAGAAAGCTCTGACTGTCATGTTATGGCTAGCAACAGAGCTGTCCTTGAGCTGTGAATGGTCATGCAACTGTTAGACACAAGTATCCTTATCTGATGTTATATTTTGAATATAAATAGTAAGAAAAAAATCTGCCAGCAGATATTAACCTTTATCTGTGCTCTGTCAGTGGGCTGTTGGGGAAAAGATTTTGACCAGTATATTTTAACTCTGTACATTCCCATCTCTCTGCAGGCTAGTCGTAGCAGTACTGGACTATCCTCCCACTCCAGACAAAGACATACCATTGAAGCAGGGAATGATGTCTTTAGAAACATATATAAGCATTTAACTACTTGTTAAAGCATGAAATGGCAGTAAGTATGATTTTGCTTTATTCCTTTAAATACGAAGAGGTTTTACTAGCCTTCCCTGTGTAAAGCTGAGACAACCTTCTGGTAAGTAACTTCCTGAGAAGGAGGAGGTTGAAACCAACCAAACTTGAAATCAGAATAAAGTACTTTCTCAGGAGTGCTGTTTCATTTCATATGTGGGTGCTTATTGCATCCAGGTCAAAAACACTGCAGCCCATTTATGGACTTGCCTCCCTCCTGCCCCTAATATATTCCTGCATTCCTGTGTCACCAAAGCACTGTGCAGTGAGAAAACTCTTCCATGGACAAGGTCCTGTGCATGTGCAATAGCGGACCTGGGGATGGGAAGGGATGGGGTTCAGGGAATGTAAGGATCCTGAGAGTAATGTAGTATCTCCATTTTGAGGAACTTCATCCCAAATGTACATTAAAGGGCAGAAAATATTTATGTTTTGTTGATCCTTGAGAAAAAGCAGACATGGTAATGGTATAAGAGCTTTTTAAAGGGGCAATAAATAATAGTTATGATAAATATGCTTTGGAGCCATAAAAATCCCTCCTTGGCCACCTGAAAGCTTCTGTATTACCATTATTTCATTATTTCACCATAAATAATAGTGTTTTCCTTAGACCAAAGCATATAATACACATGAAGTTTTTGGACCAAGTTACCTTATTTTCCTAAATGATAATGAGTGATATGTTACTTATTGTAAGAGTCAGGTTAACCCTAATTTTGCTCAGTTTCTGGAAAGAAGCTTAGGTCAGTCTCCAGTTTTTTAACTGCAGATGTTTACAAGCACAAAGAAATACTGGTGTAATCGCTGGCATTAGAATGTCTTTCAGGTTTTTTGAATCAGATTTTTTCCCTTTCAGAAGGTAAGCAGAGACTGTGAAACACTTCAGAGCAACATAGAGTTGTCCATGAAAGGACAGAATGTCTGTTGTTTGTCTACAACAGAATGATTGATACTGAACAGTGTGGAAAATAGCTACCAGAGTGCAGAGCCCTTCAAGGCTTAAAGCTGTGACAAGCAGGAGCAAAATTGTAGCTATGTGTGCATATACACGCAGCACCTTTCAGCCTTGGAAACATTATCACCATTGATAAATACCTCTAGATATATTTATTTAGATGTGGCAGCATCAAGCCACAGCTACTCCTAGCATAATGAGTGACTGTAGCTATTAAACAGCTGTATAAAAGGGTGCATATGTTAGAAGCAAGTATTACAGAGACCCGCTAGTTGCTTTTAGTTTAGTAGAGCATGAGGGCTTGTAATGATCTGATTAGTGAGAGAAGCCTCTGCACAAATTAAGGTGTAAACAAGACTATATGTCAAAGTCAATAATAGAGTTTTATTCAACAATGAATGTGAGGTAGAGAGATGATAGAAAGAAATAGAAAAGAGTGGAGTGGGGAGAGAGATGAAATAGAAGGTAGTCACCACCTGTGGATCCAGTGGTGTACTGTTGGCCCTTTTTAACCCTGGGCTTCTTGGTGGGGGGTGTCTCAAGGTCATCCAACACTTTTTCACTATTTATACATTTTAGCAAACAAAGGAATTAATGCACATTGTTTACACAGTTCTCTATTGGTTAAATGATTCCCTCACTTCTAATGCAAATTAGTCTGCATGCTCAGTCTTTCTCTTCTTTCAAATCTGTGGGTGCCCTGAGTCAGTGGGTTGTGAGTCAGTGCTTGTGATCTCCCCCTGCCAGAATTACCTTTTACCCAGTCAGAGCTGATTTCATCACAGTGCTGAGTTTGCTTTCCTGGTGGACCGTAAATTTTGCATTCTTTGTGTCTATTATATATTCTTCTCCCCCAGCTTTGTTAACCTCCTACTAGGTCTGAGATAACACCTGGAGAATAGTACTACCTTTATCTTGTCTTGAGTTCCTGCTGTGGTAGCCTAACTTGCAGTCCAAGTTTCAGGTCCTATTTGGAGGGGGGGCTTCAGTGGTGGTTGCAGATGCCACCTGTCCCGTAACTTAGGGTGAAATTTGTTTGACCAGTGATATGCATACAAGCTGTTCCTT